GAGTCTGTTTCTTCTCTCTCTCCCTCTTTTTTTTCCCTTTGCTCATTTATTTTATTTCTTAAATTCTACATGTGAGTGAAATCATATGGTATTTCTTTCTCTGACTTAGGTTGCTTAGTATATACTCTTTAGTTCCATCCATGTAATTGCAAATGGCAAAGTTTCATTTTTCTTTATGGCTGAGTAATATCCCATTATGTATAGACACCAAATTGTCTTTATCCATTTATATGTTGATGAACAAGTGCATCCATAATTTCACTATTATAAATAAAGTCGCGATAAACATAGGGATGCACGTATCCCTTTGAATTGTTGTTTATGTATTTTGGGGGCAAATACCCAGTAGTGCAATTGCTAGATTGTAGAGTAGTTCTATTTTTAACTTTCTGAGGAGCCTCCATACTGTTTTCCACTGTGGCTGTACCAGGTTGCTTTCCCACCAACAGTACAGGAGGGATCCTCTTTCTCCACATCCTTGCCAACACTTGCTATTTCTTGTGTTTTTGATTTTAGCCATTCTGACAGGTGTGAGATGATATCTCATTGTAGTTTTGATTTGCATTTCCCTGATGGTAAGTGATAATGAACATCTTTCCATGTGTCTATTGGCTATCTGGATGTCTTCTTTGGAGAAATGTCAGTTCATGTTTTTTGCCCATTTTTAATTGGATTATTTGTTTTTTGAGTGTTGAGTTGTGTAAATTCTTTGTATATTTTGGATACTAACCCTTTATTGGATATGTCATTTGCAGATATAGTCTCCTGTTCCGTAAATTGTCTTTTAGATTTATTGATTGTTTCCTTTGCTGGGCAGAAGCTTTTTATTTTGAAGTAGTCGCAGTAGTTTATTTTTTATTTCATTTCTTTTGCCTCAGGAGACATATCTAGAAAAAAGTTGCTATGTCCAGTGTCAAAAAAGGTTACTGCCTGTGTTCTCTTCCAGGATTTTTATGGTTTCAAGTCTTACAATTAGGTCTTTAACCCACTTTGAATTTATTTTTGTGTATGGTGTAAGAAAGTGGTCCAGTTTCTTTTCCACATGTTACTGTCCAGTTTTCTCAACACCATTTGTTGAAGAAATTGTCCTTTTCCTGTTGGATACTCTTTCCTGCTTTGTCAAAGATTAATTGATCAGATAGTTATGGGTTCATTTCTGGGTTTTCTACTCTGTTCCATTGGTCTCCATGTCTGTTTTTATACCTGTACCATACTGTTTCGATCACTATAGCTTTGTAATATAACTCGAAATCCAGAATTGTGATGTCTCCACCTTCGCTTTTCTTGTTCAAGATTGCTTTGGCTATTCAGGGTCTTTTGGGGTTCCATATAAATTTTAGGTTATTTGGTCTAGTTCTGTGGAAAATGTTGTTGGCATTTTGATAGGAATTACATTAAATGTATAGTTGTTTTGTGTAGTATAGAGACTTTAACAATATTTGCTCTTCCAATCCATGAGCATAGAAATGTCTTTCCATTTCTTTTGTCATCTTCACTTTCTTTCATCAGTGTTTTATAGTTTTCAGAGTATAGGTCTTTTACCTCTTTGGTTAAGTTTATTCCTAGGTATCATTATTTTTGGTACAATTGTAAATGGGATTGGTTTCTTAATTTCTCTTTCTGCTGCATCATTAGTGGTGTATAGAGGTGTCACAGATTTCTGAACATTGATTTTGTATCCTGTGACTTTACTGAGTTTATCAGTTCTAGCAGGGGTTTGTTTTTGTTGTTTTTTTTTTTTGTTGTTTTTTTTTAGAATCTTTCAGGTTTTCTATATGTAGTATCATGTAATCTGCAAATAATGAAAAGTTTTACTTCTTCCTTTCCAATTTGGATACCTTTTATTTCTTTGTTGTCTGACTGCAATGGCTAGGATTTCTAGTAGTATGTTGAATTCAAGTGGTGAGAGTGAACATCCATGTCTTGTTCCTGACCTTAGGTGAAAGCTCTCAGTTTTTCCCCATTGAGGATGGTACTAGCTGTGGGTTCTTCATATGTATAACCTGTATTATGTTGAGGTATGTTCCCTCTCAACCTAATTTGTTGAGGTTTTTATTATGAATGGATGTTGTACTTTGTCAAATTATGGTGCACTATTTATGCACTAGTTATGAGATGAGCCAAGTCATTAGTTTCTTGATCCTCGATTCCCTCACCTGTAAAATGGGTATAAAAATATAACCAATTCACATGGCTGTTAGAAGTGTTATATGAAATGTCCATGTATCCATTCTTTGACCGATGCCTGGTGAGATATATGCATACAATAAGCATTGGTTATTTTTTATTATTGTGATTTTCCTTATTATTGTGCTTGTTACTTATTTCATTAAGTGACAGCTTATGGAGCATTATCATTGACTGCCAGTCTCAAGTCCTTGAAGCAGATGACAAAATATCAGATAAATTGCTGCAAAAGAGTTGAGGCAGTTAGACTTTTGAAGAAAACTATACCATTTTTTATTTTATTTTTTAAAAAGATTTTATTTATTTGAGAGAGAGAGTACATGCACGAGCAGGGGGAGGTGCAGAGGGAGAGGGAGAAATAGACTCTCTCTGAGCAGGGAGCCTCATGAGGGGCTCGATCCCAGGACCCTAGGATCACGATCTGAGCCAAGGCAGACACAACAGGCTTAGCTACCTCGATGGCCCATAATAGCAGATTGGGATTTGTTTCAAATAAGGGCTGCTCAGATTAGAATTTCCTAAGGCATGTTATAGGAACCAGTAGGCCTCCAACATATTCCCTGGGAGAAGGGTGCCATTCTAAAATTACATCTGGGAAATGCTGTGTGTTGTTTTCTACTAGTGGAGTTTCATTGTGCATGGCATTAAGCTAAAGGTTCTGGAAAGCCTCTTGAGAAAGAAATCTGCTTTAGTCAAGTATTTGCTTAATCAGGTGTTTTCTAATCTATTTGCCTATGGATACTACCCATCCCACCCTTGCTTTTATAAAACCAAGTAATACATATAAACATTGTATTGAGCTGCCTTAGATTCTCCCAAGGGCTTGAACGAGGAGGGGCTCAGACTGCTGAGCTGAACCTCAGCGGAGAGCTGGAAGATGTCTGCCCCTGACTTTTGGATCCTACAACGCCATGCAAGTGAGCAGATTTCTTAAGAGGTTTCATTCCCATGTTGGAGCTTGTAGGGTAGAAATTAGAAAGCCCATAGTAATGTGACAGCTAAACTCTCTTCCTTCGATTGTCTTCAAACCTTTCCAGGACTCACTCCTCAAGGACCTCAGAGTCCATCTGTCATTTAGGTATCCCAGAACCGCTGGGACTTGCCTAGGCTGACAGGAATGAGTTCCTTGGCCTGATGCACAGAAACCAAAGGGTATAGAGGGTGTCAAGCTTCAGAGGAGGACAAAGGATTTGAACTCAGACCAAAAGGGGTCAGTGTTTTAGCTCTGCCAGGTAGTCACCTGGTCCCTGGCCAAGTCCCTTACCTGAACTACAGGTTCTTCATCTATATAATAGGGACAATTAAAGCACTTAGCTCAAATGGTTGTGAAATTCTCATTAAATTATAAAAGCATTTTTTAAAATATGAAGTGTTATTTAAAAGCTCATTATGTGCTATGGTGAGTGCTATGAATTGTGTAAGACTGATGATTCACAGACCTGTACCCCTGAAACAATACGTTATATGTCAATTTTTTTTAGAAAGTAGGGGGATAAATAAATAAATAAAAGCTCATTAATTTAATGTTAATATTAATGGTATTCTTGCTGATCTTCATATTTGAGGATCTACTAGTTATTCTTTTATTCATTCAACTTGTCAAATACTTATTGAGCACTTTGCAACATACCAGCTCCCAGGGTTAGGTGCTGATGGAGAGTATAGAATAAAGCAGCTACGATCCCTGCCTTCTTGGAATGCACATTCCATAGTGGGAGACATATGATAAACAAATATGCACACAAATAAGTGTATCATTATAGTCTCCTGTCTCCAGGTACTGATGTGACATTTTTTAAATGAGATATTGCTTATACTCTCCATATAGATGTATTTTGAAGGTATTATCCATGAACTGTTCACAGAAAATGAATTTATCAGTTTAAATAAAGAATACAATTTTTAATATAGAACTAGAAGATACCTTAGGAATGGTTTATCTCAATCCCTTCGTTTTACAGATGAGGAAAATTAGAAATCAGAATACTGTAGAAATATCCCCAGTCTGTGTGTGTGTGTGTGTGAGTGTGTGTGAGAGAGAGAGAGAGAGAGACCAGGGATCTTGACACAGGAATTAGAACCCAGATTTCTTTTCCCCTAGTCAGTGCTTTGCACTCTGCTGTGTTCTCTCTGAAAGGTCCAGCTCGTATTTTAACAGTGAGTAATAATTACCACACTTTTTATACAATGGGTTTCAATTACTAGAAATTAGGGACACAGTACAATTGATTTTTCCAAACTTTACTCCATAAAACATTAGTATTTTAATAGGTGTTTGTAGATTATCATTTTTTAAGTTGCTTGATCAAATTAGTTTGAGAAACTACACCCACCCTCCAACCCTGCCTTTAGGAATCCATAAATGAACGTTGTGATAGTAAAAGATCATTCCTGAACTGAGGAAGCCTCTTAACTGTACAACTCAGTATTTCCCATACTTATTTGACTACAGAATCTATTTTGAATTATCTAACAATGTGATTACAGTGTGCTGGCTGGGAAGTACAAACTTAGCATCAGTTTTGTTGGCTTCTTGGTAAAGTCTGTGAAAGCCCAATAGTGAACTAAATTGTATCATACAACTTTAAAAAGGGCGGCTACTACAGTCTTAGAACCTCAGGCTGACTAAGACTATAGCTGTAACACTTAGTAGGATGCATTTTCTTCAGTTGACCATGTCCTTTTAACTGAGGACCAGAATGGAAAACAATGGGAACATAGTATGTTCTGATACCTCTTTGGAGGAAAGCAATCCTCTTTAAGTTCTTAAACATGATTTCAGGCCTTTTAAAAATGATTATTTTTCTTTTTAGGCATCCACAAACCCAGTGTTCTCCAAAAGGGTGTGATGTCTCCGCAGGACATTCAAATAAGGTAGCTGGACACTTTGATTCCAAAGTGACTATGTATCTTTATTTCAGACTTGTCCAAGTCAATGGTTGTGAAGCCTGTCTGTGGCTGCTTGGTCAGGTCATCCAAACATGAAACTGTTAGTGATATTTTGAAGTCTTTGAGACAAAAGCCCAGCTTGCTAAAGAACTTTGGTTCAGCAGAGAGACAGGGAGGTACAGTGAAGAGAGAATCAAAAGCCTGGAAATTTGCTGCTGAGAATAAATGCTAGCTGCTCCCCGAGGTGATTTGTCTGTGCACTCCACTCTCTACAGATGTTAGAGCCTCTTTTTGAGTAAGGACCCGAGGTTCTTTGGTAGCACTTTGATATCCTGCTCGAATTCAATATGTGAAATGGAGGCGTCTCTCTGTGACTTGGAGCCCACAGCAGGCTTTGAAGTCTGATCCAATTTTTGCTGCCTACTATTTGATGTTGAAAGGATGAAATGAAGAAAATGTACAGTTTTTGCCAGTAACTCTGCTGAGCATATGTAAGATTAAAAAAACAAAATCCTTTGGATGATGTACTTAGAAATGTTAAGTAGATTAATACCTTCCTATAGGTTTTCTTTTTTCTTTCTTAGGGATAAAAATTAAGTATAGGAGAAAATCAGCACATAGTTGTTTTTTATATTCTGGACTATAATTAATTTAAGAGAGGGCTAAGTTGCCTTGTTTAGAGGAAGAAATAAATGAATTAAGCAAAAGGTGCTGAGACTCTGCTACTAATTGCCCCAAGGAGAGGACCTCCACTCAATTCTCATGCAAGACAGGGGCAACTCACATGACCCAAATATACTTAGCTTCTTCCCCATATCATCAGGGTTAAAGGTCCCTTAGTTAAATGGAAGCTATGTCCTTGACGCTGCTTCTTCCAAAGATAAAAGTAATGTTTCTCTTATTGGGTCTTTGCGAAGCACTCCATTTCTGGGACTGATCTGCTATCTTCTCGGACATGCCATGCTGCCCCAGGTTGCCCAGGACCAAGTCCCTCAAAAGGAGCCCCTACAAAACTTGGTAAGAACATTTTGAATTGCGTGCTGCTTCTACCTTTTGCATGCTTGTGTACTTTTTGATGAGTTGGTTAGGCAGGACTATCTAAAAAGTAGGACTCAGTAATATGACTTAATGTTCACAAAAAATTCACGTTTGTGCAGCCATTAAGGCTGGAAGCAAAATATGTATTAAAAGTAGCCATGGGGTGCCTGGGTGGCTCAGTGGATTGGGCCTCTGCCTTCAGCTCAGGTCATGATCTCATGATCTCATGACCTGGAGTTGAGCCCCGCATCAGGCTCTCTGCTCAGTGGGGAGCCTGCTTCCCCCTCGCCCCCGCCTGCCTCTCTGCCAACTTGTGATTTCTCTCTCTCTGTCAAATAAATAAGTAAAATCTATTAAAAAAAAAAATAGCCATAGAGAGCCTGGATGGCTCAGTTGGGAGATTGCCTTCGGCCTAGGTCATGAACCCAGAGTTCTGGAATCAAGCCCTGCATCAGGCTCCCTGCTGAGCGAGCAGGGAATCTTCTTCTCCCTCTGCCTTCCACCCCATCTGCTTGTGCTCTCCCTCTCTCTGTCAAATAAATAAATAAAATCTTTTAAAAAATAAAAATAAAGGTACCCATTTACTGCCTCCTCATGCCATTCAAGTTTACTTCTCTGAGGGAAGAAAGTGAATATCAAAGACCATTATTTCCCTTAACCTGTTAAGAACCTCAAATTAGGAAACTGCCTCACAATTTCATTTTGTCAAAGGAAAGACAGACAACTGGTCAGCTTCCAGTGGAACAGATCATTTTGGGTCAAAATCTAGGACTTGTAAAGAATATGGATTTAGAGAGTAGTTCTGCTCTTTTGGCAATACATTTGGCAATTCTTTCAGCAAGAGTACACACATCTTGCCACACTCCTTTGAGAAATAGCAATTTATGGCCCCCTTTCTAAATTTTTTGCTACAGAATATGGTGAAAGTTAGTTTGGGGCTTATGTGTGGCTATAATGTGTGGTTTATGTGTACTTCTGGAAGATAAAATAGAAGCATGATTGTAAGAAATACTTAAGAACCAGAAGATACAAAGAGCAGTGTGGACCTTCCAAAGAAAGAAACTTTTTCAGCTTAAAATACTGACATTACACTCAGTATTGACTTCATCTGTTTTTCTGGAATATGCAATAAATTCTCAGGTCTCTCCAAATTTCTTCTTAGCCTGTTTTTCAGTAACAAAGTAGTACAATATGAAGTGAAGAATGTACAATAAGTGTGTTAGGACCTTCAGTCTATATGGAACTTAGGCTGTTGGAGAGAGACAAGAGAGGATGAGTGTACTATAGCAGAGCCTTTTAAATGGGTATGCAGAAAATGATAAATCTGTCAAAGGGAATATTTTCCCCATGGTGTTCAGTGTTCCCACACAGCCAGATAGTGTTCAGGAATAAGGCCACAATGAGGTAGGGATAGGAGTGGTGCAAAAAAAAAGAGGGAAATTTAGGGAAAAGACAAGGTGGTAGAGCAGAATCCATTATGCAAGAATTTGGTTGGCATTTGTCTCTATCCAAACAGACAATCTCTACCTTTTAATTGTGCTGTTTAGACCATTTATATTTAATGTGATTATTGATGTATTTTGGCTTAAATCTACCATCTTGCTGTTTGTTTTCAATTTCTCTCATCTGATCTTTGTTCACTTTTGACATTCTACTTTAAAATATATGTAAAAAGAAAAATTTTAAGTATGATTGAGTAGCCAAAGGCACAGATTCTAGAATGAGACCTGCCTGGATTCACATCTCTGTTCTCCTGTGTAGTGTTAACTGAGTTATGAAACAACTCCCTATCTCAGTACTTACACATGTCAAATGAGGAAATGGTAATTCATAGCTGAGGGGTTATCCTCAGGATCCAATGAGCTGGTAGTACAAGCAAAGAGCACAGCATGGTGTCTGGTTCATGACAAGGGTACATTATTTCAGCTGTTGCTGTTGTACTCATTGCTATTGATATTATATAAATGCAAATTTAATCTATAAGTATGAAAAACAGAGAAATAAAGTTCTTATTGTAAGGCACTAAATTTTGGTAGGAGTTTATAGGGAGTAAAAATATATTGTATTTTGAATTAACTATTAAAGAGATTTGTTGGATTATAATCATCTTTCTTGGTCTTTAGGAAAGTATTTCCAAAGTCAAGCTCACTAATAAGCTACACATCTGACTTGCTATAAGTGGCTCAGATGCACTTTCCTGTCACACTTGTTTTTTCCCTCCAATCTGGATGGTTTTCTCTTGGGTTTGCCACTATCACCATTACTTCTCCTTACACTCTTGTAAATAGCATCCAAAGTAGTCTTCCTGCTTCCATTCTTTTCCTCCTTCAACTTATCTTCTGCACAGATATCTGAGGAGATTTTTTTTTCTTTTATTTACTTGACAGACAGAGATCACACATAGGCAGAGAGGCAGGCAGAGAGAGAAGAGGAAGCAGGCTCCCCACTGCACAGAGAGCCAAATGCAGGGCTTGATCCCAGGACCCTGAGACCGTGACCTGAGTTGAAGGCAGAGGCTTAACCCACTGAGCCACCCAGGTGCCCCCTGAGGAGATTTTCTAAAGCATACTCTGATACTAACATTCCCTTCCTCCATATTCCTCCATGGCTCCCCACTGCTTCAGCATCAGCTCTAAATTTCTTGGTGTGACATTCAAGGCTATCTCTGTTATGGTCTTAATCTTCCTTTCTAGCTGTATCTTCCACTGATCTCTCTTCCTCATTCTTTGCTTCAGAATATCCAAACTGTTCTCTGTTCTCCAAGCATACCTAGTATGTCCTCTCCCCTGTGACATTGCTCACACAGTGCCCTCTGCCCCATCTATCCTTCTTCCTGTTCACTTTCAGTGCTTTCCATCCTTTTTTTTTTTTTTTTTTTTTTAAAGAACGTGAGTTGAGGGGATGAGGGCCTGAGGGTAGGGGGAGAGAGACAGAGGAAGAGGGAGAGAGAGAATCTTAAGCATGCTCCATGCCCAGCACACAGCCCGATGCAGAGCTCCATCTCACAACCCTGAGATCATGACCTGAGCCAAAATCAAGAGTTGGATTTGGATGCTTAACTGACTGAGCCACTCATGCTCCCTGGTCCTCTCCATTCTTGATTCCCCATGGTTCCCTCTTCTGTGCCCCTTGACTCTTCTTTTAGTACTTACCACATCCTGCCTTACATTATATTTTCATTCATCTACTAGATTTTAAACTCTCTGGGATTGTATCTTTTCATTTCTGTATTCTCTCCTCACAGCCTAGCCTACATCTTCTAACTGAATTCTTGAGCATCCAAAGCCGTGATGAAATATAATGGAAGCAAGAATGTAATGAAGCTCTTGAATGAGACAGAGAAAAGTTTTAAAATGTGTTTCTAATAATCCTGAAATAAAATAAATGTCTCTTAGTCACCCCCAAATAGGATAGCATACCACTAGAGCAGGTTAAAGTGATCCAACCTGTTTTATTTTGTTGCTGTTGTTTTGAGTGGGGGAAAGAAAAAGGTTTAGGCAGGAAAACGCATTATGTAGAAAGTAGCAAAGATGGATCAAAGAGCAAAAGCTTTCCAATTATATGTTTTCAAGGTTATCAGCTGCAGAAACAAGAGTATATTCTGTAAGAAACATTTCAGCAAGTTATACTTTTGCATTTAATTTTTTACCTTGAATTACCCATTATTTCAACCTATATTTCTATGAAAGACTGAACGAGAATATTGTGATCTTTCAGTATAAAAAAAACCCACTAACATCCAACAAGTTAGCCTTGTAACTTTCAGTGACTTCTAATAACTTCACTCTTGTATGGAGTGGTCTGGTGGGGTGGGGGATGGAGGGAAGTGGGGAATAAATCTAAAGATCCTGTCAGGCCAGCTCTGTTCAGGGCAGGCATGCAAAGAAGTATACAGATGTGGGGCTTGTACAAAGGCTGTCTTCAGCCCCTTAGGCAGAGAGTCTCAGAAGTAGTCCTTAATTTGTCCATCTGAGCCTGACTCATCTTCACATAGAAGAGGAAAGCACAGTATATCCAGGAAGTACATAGTAAGAATCACTTTGCAACTAATTCAAGCAGTGAAATTATTTAATTAGACCTGATGGGCATATAGACAGACTTGGTCTGATTTTACTCTTTAAAAATGTATTCTTTAGACATTTTCCTTATATTTATTATTCATCTATTTACTCAGCAATTATTAATACTTACTAAGTGCCAGGAACTGTCCTGTTCTCGGACTTCTTATTTTTAAAAGAAAACTTCTTAGTTTTAAAAGATCAGTTTTGGGTTGGTTAATTTCCAATTTGCACAGATACTTTGTGAATACAATAGAAAAGAATTATAGTTGACCCTTCAACAACACAGGGGTTAGGATTGCTGACCACTACACAGTCAAAAATCCATGTCTAACTTTTGGTGCATCAAAAATTTAACTACTCATAACATACTGTTGACCTTACTGATAACATAAGTAGTTGATTAACACTATATTGTGTGTTATATGTATTATATACTGTACTCTTATAGTAATACCTTTTTCTTAAATTTTTTCAGTATTTCTAAACTGTGCAGTTCATCTAAGAGCTTTTCCAAATTGTTGCAAATCTAAAAACAATTTCCAATTATCTTTTGGGGGAAAATCATGTATAAGTGAACCCACACAATTCAAACCCGTGTTTTTCAAAGGTTACCTACTAGTTACATAATTGCATACTTAGATGTTGTATAGATATCAAAATGATCTAAACTTTTCTAAATTTCTTACTCTAAATTATTCTAAATTTCTTTACTAATCTTGTTGGGACAAGTAGCAGGAGTCAGCCCACACACCACATACAGCACTAACACTGTTCTAGGCATGTGTGATAAATCAGGGAACAACAGTAAAAAATTCCTGTCCTCACAGTGCTACGTTCCAGCAGAGGGAGATGACAATAAATAGTAAGCATAGTACAAAAGTCAGTGGTATGGGATGTTAGAAGGGTTCAAGTGTTATG